ATATTCCAGGATGCCATGGGTCTGCCGGGCGAGCTCCCGCTGTAGGAACAGGGCAGAGGTTGGTACCAGAAAGCAGTCCTGTCTCCGCTCTGTCTCCAGCCTGGTCTGTCTTACCGAGGGGCAGATGATGAGTCCATAGGGCCCTTCACGCTTGGAGAAAGGTAATCTCTTTTCTTGTTCCAGGCAAAACATGATGACAGGCAATGTGAACACCAGTGTCTTGCCTGAACCCGTGAAGGCGATACCTATCATGTCACGGCCAGACAGACTGTGGGGAGAGGAGAGGCCTGAAGATCAGGTTCAGTAGAATGTAGGGAATGAGTCTCCAGATGGACACCTAGTGACTGCTCCTCCCCATCACCGCCCTCTTCAGGGCCCCCAGGTCCACACTCACATGGTGGGGATGCCCTGGATCTGAATGGGTGTTGGGTGGTGGATGCCTTTCTTCTTCAGGCCTCTCAGGATGGCTACGGAACACAACCTCAGTATCATCCTTGTGTCTCACAGATACTTTATCAGGCCTCCCAAAGCTGTAAAATCGGCACTACTCCCGCTCCCTTCAAGGTACAAATAAGGCCCAAAGAAAGAGAGAAAAAGACTTGTCTAAGGCCTCTAGGATAACTGGAGGGAGGATTTACACCCAGGTCCATTTAAGGCCAATGTCACTTGCCCACTGAAGCTCCCTAATGGCAGAAGACAGTGAGCAGGTACAGCTGGGGCAACTGAAATTCAAACCTGAGTCCCTCCATCTCCACTGGCTAGACCCATTGCTGCAGATGCTGAGCTCAGGGGGAGCTGGGACACAACCGCACAGTTGTTTGACTACCAAAGTTCCCAGGTACCTGCAGGAAATTTCATTTCCTTGAAGCTCTTGATGGGTGGTGGGATACCATCTCCTTCCACCAGGATGTGGTACTTCTTCCGTACGCGTTCATGCCGCTCTTCAGACATGCTCAGGACATAACGGGGGGGTGTCCAACTGTGAGTGCATGGTGGGGGTCAAGAGAGGCCCCGGGCACAACTGGCTCTGGGGTGCACCTGCCAGTCTCAGCCACATACCATTCCAAGGAAAAGTGACTGCCTTCCCACAGACTGAAAAACATACCTGGTTTTGATCGGATCATCGTATGTGATTCCCTTGGCCATTTCCTTCACTGACATCAAGGCTGAGGAGACAGATAAGGCTCAGGGCTGGCTCTTGCTTCCCAGAGGCCAGGCCCATGAGATATAACATGCCTGGGGTTGGGGGAAGAGGCTGGGTCCACCTCCCCCCCTGCCCTGGCTACAACCATACCTCGACCCTCAGCCACACTCTCCAGGATCTTTTCCTCTTCTTTCAGCTGCTTCTCCTTGGCAGACTCCTTGCGGGCTGAGGAAAGAAGCAGATGTCAGACACCAAAGCACTGTACCACGCTGCACCTCCCCGCTGCTTTCCAGCCCACCTTCAGCCTTCTCTTTGAGGTGCTGGTGCTGATCCAGGAGGCTGACGTTGGACTGAGGGCCCAGCGGGATATCGTCCTCATCTCCCCGGGGCTCGCTGCCGCTGTCCTGCTGTTCCTCCTCCGCAGCTCCTTTGCGCCTTCGTTGCAGTAGCTTCTGGAGCTGAGGTTCCACCAGAGCCCCTCAGAGCCAAGCCCAAAACAGAGCGGAGCATTGGGCCCAGGGGGCCTGCGTCAACATCTTGGCTTTTGGGAGAGGGATCTGTACCCTGCGACCTCAGATCAGGTTGCCCGTCCCTCGTTCGCCAGACGGCCACTGTCCCGAGTACTGGCAGCTCGCTCCACTGGCGGCCACCCCCCTCCCCACGTCCCCCGATCCCACGCCCTCATTCCTCTTCCGAACCGGGGCCCTCACCAGCAGTTGCCGACGCTGTCGCAAAGGCACGTAAGGCACGTAGTCTTCGTCGTCCTCATCCTCCGTTTCGGAGCGGCTTCCTGTGGCAGTCGCCTCGTCGGTGCGAGCCCGCTACAAATACACAGAAGTCAGGCTCAGGCCCCCCGCTTTCACTGCCGCTCGCCACCCGCGCGGACCCCTGTCTCGCTCCTACCTTCCGCTCGGGTTCCGAGTCCTCCATCCTTTGCTGCACGCATGCGCGCTACGGTAAAACCCCGCCTCAACTTTTGAGTGAAATCCAATCAGATGTGAAGAAGCGAACGTGGGCGCCTAGCAACGACCTCTGAGTGCCGGATCGCGCAGAGGGACAAACTTTCCTCTGAGACCCTGTCAGGCAGCGCGGCGTCAAAGTCCCTTGGGCGGCTGCGCATTTGTTGCCAGGGGCGAGGGCAAAGCGTCGGACAGTGCATTATGGGACGCTGCAGGATTTGGAGCATGCGCTAAAGGCTCAAACGGAGTCTGGTGGAAGAAGGTCCCTAAAGCGGAGACCGGGGATCCCGAAGAGGTCGGCCGGCCAGCTGCCCAGCCTCGCCCAGAGTCTGACGTCATCAGGCACGTCCCGGGACGGGGCCAGCTGGGATCCCGCCCGGGCCTGCATCCCGGGCACGGGCGCGGGGACGGGGTGTGCCTTACGGAAAAATGAATCAACTTAAACTGCAGCTCTGACTGGCGTCCTCATCTATGTGAGACAACACGTATGTTCAGAGTGGCGAGGGATAAATAAAATGCTGGTGACAAGTGTTTTTTTGCTGAGGGTCTGTATATATATGGAGCGATTATTATTGTAAATGCTGTGATAGAGCTTAAAGTAACTCACTGCCTGGGGAACCAGAGAAGCCTTCAAGGAGACCTGAATCTGAGCTTCCACAGGTGTAGACTCTCAGAACAGAAGTGGAGGAAAGCGAAGTTTTCTGATTGAGGGTCCTGTAGGAGTGAAGGGGGGGGTCATGTGCAAGTACAGATTTCTCAAAGAACAAACAAACCACGTGGCCGGCTCCTGTGGAGTGGGGGTGGCCAAAGCTAAAGCTGGATAGGTAGGCTGGGTGCTCCAGAGCATGCAGGGCTGACTGTCAAAGTAACTTCAACTTCACTGGGTACTTTATTTGTATTTATTTTTAAAGATTTTATTTTGAGAGAGAGCTCGAGCGGGGACAAGGGGCAGAGGGAGAGGGGGAGAGAGAATCTCAAGCAAACTCGGCGCTGAGCAAGGAGTCTGACCTGGGGCTAGATCCCACTATGCTGAGATCATGAATTGAGCCGAAATCTAGAGTCAGAGGACTGAGCCACCCAGGTGCCCCTCACAGGGGACTTTTAAAGAGGAGGGATACGTCAGTACTATTTCTTCCTTCATTCATGTATTTATTATCAGCACATGCTGGGCATTGTGCAGTGCTGAAGCAGATAAAAAATGAACAAGACACAAACCTGGCTTGAGTTTATGGATTAGTGGAGGAGACAAAAATATAATGGGTCTTGAGGTTAAGGAGAAATATTCTAAGACAGATAAAGTAGTACTTTTGGAAGCACCACAAGGCAGGGCAAACAGATTTTCCTAGTAAAAGTGGCCTTTCAGCTGAAATGTGAAGGATAAGCAGGACACAATGAAGGAAAGGTAATCTGGGAAGAAGGAAACGTGAGCCAAAGCTGGGAGACCTGAGGGTGCCAGGCCTAGAGGGAGACTGAGGTCATCTGGGTGGCTGGAGTGAAGTGCTGGGAGGCAGGGGCCAGGCATGGAAGGCTCTGAATGCCATCCACAGGTCTTTCTCTGTAGGTAAAGCAGCTCCTTGATCAGACAGGCAATTTTTGAATGATGAAGCAGAATTTTAGGTGGCTCTGCCAGTTCAACTGCAGGGCAGGAGCCTGGTGCAAGAGTTGAAGAGAGAGAGGAACACAAATAGTATGTATACAGAGACAGGTTTCACAGCGGCATATGCAGACTTCCTTGGGGATTAGGAAAGGCCAGGGACCAGGAATTGTGAGCCTTGAGCCTGTCGGCGATGCTTTTTAACTTCTTCAGAAGAGGAAGCTGGCACTGACTGCCCATGGTGGGGTTCAACCTGGGGGGAGGGGGAAGGGGGAGGGAATGGTTTTTTTTTTTTTAAAGATTTTATTCATTTATTCATGAGAGACAGAGAGAGAGAGAGAGAGAGAGAGAGAGAGAGAGAGAGAGAGGCAGAGACAGGCTCCCCAAGGAGCAGGGAGCCCAATGCGGGACTCGATCCCAGGATCCCGGGATCATGACCTGAGCCGAAGGCAGACGCTTAACCATCTGAGCCACCTAGGCGCCCAGGGGAATGGTTTCTGATCCTGCTTTCCAACACTCTGTAAAGGGCTCTTAGTGACTGTGTGGCTACAGCCTCCACTGCTCCCCACATAAGCTCAAGTTAAGTGTCAGTTTCAGAAAACGACAAGAGGAACAAGGAGTTGGAGCACAAGTGTGTGCGAGGCATTTTTTTTTTTTTTGGCAAACTTATAATGTTAAAATCTGAATTTATGAACCAGATCTGCAGGGGTGGGAGATAGGAATGAGGTAGTTTACTTTACTTTACAGAAGGGTTCATTATCTGCAACTCTCAAGTACTTAGGCTATATGTGTCATTCCCACTGGAAAGTCAGATCCAATTTATAGAAACTCTATTTACTCCACGTCCCTTGACAATGTCAATAACCCAGGCTAAAGGTGCACAATCTGTAAAGGCCTCAAGACTTTCCCAGACCCCTTCTCACAGCAGCTGCACAGAGATCGAGTCTCACTCCTCCATCTCGAAGAGGGGGAAACAGGGCATGGGGAAGGGGCTATTCCAGGTCACATACCAAAGTCCTGCCACCAGGAGAAAGTACACAGATGCTGCTGTTATATGGGCCTAGGCTCTAACTCTGCTCAGCCAGACTGAGTGCACTAAAGTCACTTTCCTGTCTTAGCTTTAATTTCATCTGTAAAATGGGATAACAGCCCCATTTAGAACAGTTGTGGAATTAAGTGAAAACTGCCAGACTGTTGACACATAATATCTGCTCAGTGAGGCTAATGACCAAGGCAGATCCCATGCTTCTGAGTACATTCCTCACCTCACCCCTGCCCCAGACCAGCAAACCATCAACACACTCTGTGTCCAAATGTTGCTTTATCTTTCTGCAGGAAAGATCTTCACAGTATCAAAAGTAAAGAATTGAAAAACAAGAACAAAAACAAAACCAAACACAAAGAGAGCAATGTTGGGCCAGCAGTACCATCAGCCCCCGGCCCACAAGCCAGTCCAGCCCCCAGGCTCTGAGTGAGGAGGCTGCGTAGCACCAGGAAGCGGCTCTGTGGAGGTCCTGAGGGGCCCCAGCACGGCACAGCATCCGTTCAACTTTTGGTTGGTCCAGGATGGCGAGGAGCAGGGAGATCTTGGGCAGGTGGGTAGGGATGTGGAGGAAGAAACTGTAGACCTTCAGCTGGCAGTCGGGGTCTCAGGACACCCTGAAGTAGCTCGACCCGGCAGGGGGCTGAGAAAACAGAGCATGGCCATACCGTGAGTGAGCCTTTGCCTGAGCCTCCCTGCGCTGGCTCTGGGTTCCCATGGATCCTCATGGGAAGGAACAGCTGCCTGCTATTTTTGCTCCCTGGGCTGAAAACACTGAATAGACTTCCTTGATTACCTTCAGCAGAGGATTCAGGTTAAGACCCTGCCAGGGGACAGCTCCCCTGGCACACATCTATCCAAGCCAGGGTGGTGTAAGAGCCCCGCCTCTGGCCTTTGCTCTCCTGCTGACAGGCAGGGGAGAGGCAGCGTATGCACTCGGGCTCCGGGTACACAGCCCAGGTTAGGTCCCGAATCTACGCCTGCCTTGCTTTCTCACACACTCTCCGGGCTCCCAGTCCCACTCTGAGGAGGGTGGAAAGGTCAATGGAGAGCCCTTAGAGTGGGGTGGGGCAGGGAGGGAACATCTCTTGTCTTGGGAAAGAGCTCAACCAAAGAGGGGGTCCCTGAGAGAAGATGGCCAAATGAGGTTTCCTGGCTGGGGGAGGGGTGTGCCCCTTTTTCTCTAAGAAGAGGCAACAAATCAAAGTGCCTGGGGTCCCCATAACTCCTGGATCCTGTGGAAGTGGACAAAAAGGGGCAGGAGGGCACCCTGGCCCTGGCAGAAGCTCCTGAGGGTGTGGACATTTCAGTTTGGCAAAAGATGAGGGAGCCTAGGCCCTTCAGAGAGAGGGGCTGAGGTGAGTCTAAAGACAGTCCTGACTCCAGGCAGCCCAAGGTGCCATAGGGAGCCCAGCCCCAAGGATGGGGAATCCTAAAACCAAAAGAGGACAAGGAAACTCGGATGAGGGTCCAGGAAGTCTGCTGCCCGACCCAGAGACGAGCTGTCCTGGCACTGAGAAGAGAAGGAGTAGGAGAGGTGAGGACATCCTCCTGGGGTTCCCTGAGTTCAGCTCACCTGCCCGTTTCCTGTTGCTTTAAGGGCAGTTGTGTGGTTCCCAGCCAGAAAAGGCCTGATCCCAGGGACAGAGCACAGGGTTATGATAGGGCACTGCACAGCCATTAGGTTGAAAACCTGGCACCGAGGCCTGCCTGCAAGCCACCCTTCTCTCCTGCACTATGGTGCTCAGCCCAGTGTCTTCTCTTGGTCTTCTGTTCTCAGTCCAGAACATCATCTGATATGTCAGTATTTCACACAAAAGGACTTGTGTAGGTGGTTGGGAGAGGAGCCCCGAGCCCAGCTGGGGGCCAGGTGTCTTCTTCAGGAGGCAGCTTAGCTATTAATTTCTTCATGGGGCTTCTCCTGTTTGGGGAGAGCACTTACCAACTCCTCCATGCCTAAATGACCTCACCGAGGCCTTGGTCTAGCTCATCTGCCCTTTCACTGGTCCTTTGGGGCTACCCACTTCTTGCATGGCTTTAGCTGGGAAGCACCTGGGTAGCCTACCAGGCTGGGCAAGTGAGATTCAACCCTGAGGCTAATATTGTCAGGGGTGGGGGCAGTCCTCTGGGGATTAAGGCTGCCTAGACACTTGAGAGGCAGCCAGTAAGGGAAGTAGAGGCCTGGTGGAGATAGCCCAGGGATGGAGATTCAGGAACATAGGGCTCCCAGGAGGCTCTGGCCCAGGAGGGAGTGATGAAAGGACAGAGGCCTAGGGGTGAGTGGCCATAGGAGAAGAGATGGGGCCTGTGTCTGCAGAGCGCATAGCTGTCACTGTGGAGTGTAGGGGCCCAGGGCTGGCAAGCCACTAGCCCAACTCCATGCCCCAGAGCATGAAATGGTCTGGTGGGGACACAGAAAGTGACAGAACTTGGGGAGAGGGAGTACATGCAACGCTTGGGGGTCTCCATACCTCACTGAGCTGTGCTGGGAGTGGATTTCTTGAGGCTGAAGTTGGTCCAGTTCACAGCAACTTTCTGGCGAGTTTGCTTTGCAGAATCCAAACAGAACCTATTAGAGGTTTGAGAGACAGCAGAAAAACATAATCAGAGGTACCCCTCTCCCTGCTAGACCCAACTTCTAGACCCATGTGTCTTGGTCACTAAAGGAACCAAGTCAGCTCTGTACAACCCCTCTGGCTCCAGGGTACTGGGGTCTAGCAGGTTATGAGAGCTTTGCTGGCTTTCTGGACAGGGTGCCCACGAGCCCAGGGAACAGTGTATGAAGAGAGTAACACTGCCTCGGGATACAGGGTGGCTCCTCAGACTGTATTTTACTCTGGCTACACTGGGTGGCCTTCTGCTCCCCTAAGTACTGTGTGTTGTTTTCAGCCTGAAACCTCTGTGCCTACCATCTCTGCTGTCACAAAGGCCCTGTTTGACCTGGCCCACTGGTTCTTACTCCTCAGGTCTCAGCTTGGTTCCCACCTCTTCTGGGAGCGCTGCCCACCCCTACGTCTCAGCGGGGTCTGCAGCCCCATGCCCTTACTCCTCCAACAGCACTTATCCCTGGACTGTGTGTTTATGGCTCTCTCTCCATCTAGACTGTATCTCATTTGCCTCCAGCCCAGAGCTCAGCCCAGGCAGAGCAGAGGAAGTGCAAGTGAACATACAAAAGGAATAAAGCTGGAGAAAGCCCTGGTTCTTAGGGCCTGACGTGCCTCCTTCTCCCTGTCCCTTACGCCTTCCCAGATGGCCTGTTCTGCCGTGTGGCTACCTGGGTTCCAGCAGATAGACTGGTGGGAGAGAGCCTGGAGAGGCTCTCCTGCTGAGGGTGTCAGGCTGAGGGTGAGCCTGAGTGAGGGTGGGCAAGAAGGCATCCCCACACCTACCTCTTGAAGTACTCCACCTCCCGGTCAGTCTCATCCATCTCCACCCCATCCATGTCCTTGGGCAGGAACACATCGTCTAGGAAGACACAGCCAGGAGGGCTCAGTGCCCACGGCGAGGCCTCTGGGGTCATGCTCTTGGGGCAGCACTGCCCACACCGAGGACTACCCTCCACCCTGTGGCCTGGCGGGGTGGGGGGCTAACCACTCAGTTCCTGGTGCACTCACCCAGGGAGGCGGCCGTCTTCTCCTGCTTGTTGCGGCTCCGGCGGCTGCGGCCCTTGCCCTGCGGCAAGCTCTGTGGCCTTGCTGGGCCTGAGGGCTGCATGGACTCCTGCTCCAGAGGCCGTGCTTTGGCCTCACCTGGCCAGTTTCGCCAGGAGCCGCCCTTCTCGTCGGCTTTGGGGCTGCCAGCCCAGCCTGCTCCCGGCTGGCTCCCCTCTCCAGCCTCGGCACAGCTGCCCACTCTGGGAGGCTCTGGGGCCTTGCCTGGCTGCTTGGAGCTGGGGGTCTGGCCCTTGGTACTGGGAGCCTCGAGGCTGGCTGGGGACCGGGGGGCTGGGCTCGCCTCGTTCTTCTTGGCCTGACTGCCCTGTCTCTTGCCCTTCCGCGGCTTCCCACTTGAGGCCACAGGCTCGGGCAGCTCCTGCTTGCAACGGGGAACCTCCTTTGGGCTTGGCTCCTCAGGGCTAGGGTTGCCTGGCTTGGGTGTCTTGACCCAGATCACCCGGGAAAGGTTGGGCACAGCGTTGAGTCTCCTCACTAGCCCATTCTCAGGGATGATACCGGGAGGGGGCCCCCTCACCTCTGTCCATGGTGGGTGAGAGCCTCTCATTTCTGTCCACGGTGGGGCTGGCTCACCTGGAACTCGTAGCGTGTGGTTCTGAGAGGACCCCAAAGTCAAAGGGGACAGGTCAAGGTTAATGTCAGGCCGTTGCTCTGAGGAGCCATTGAGGTTTGAGGGGGATAGGCTCTGGGACTCTGGCTCAGCAGCCCCCTCCTTAGAGAATCCATTGCTGTCCATGTTGAGCTCACACACACTGAAGCTAGCACGGATAGAGTCCTTGACAGTGTTCTTGATCTCTTGCAGACGGCTGCTCAGGAAGCTGTTGACCCGATCCAGCTCCCGGTCAGGCCACTCCAAGAGCCTCTCCCTGGCAGGCCTTGGCTCCCGGCTTCCAGAAACACTACGATTCACCTGCTTTAAAGCTTCTGTTGCCAAGTGGGCCTTCTCCTTTTCCTGTCAATATAAGCAGCAGTTTCAGCTAGGGCCTGGCAAGTGCTAGGCACAATGTGACACCTGACACATCAGCCTGGGGCCCGGCTTTACAGCTAACTGGCTAGAGGCAGGACCTTGGCCATCCAGGCCTGCTCACCCATCCTGCAGGAGTGAGGATGAAATGCAATCAGATGCATGTTCTGGGGATGGAGACAGACCCACAGAGGATAGGTTTTTATAGCTTGTTCACTCAGAATCCCAGTGTGAGTCCTAGGGCCTAAGACCCACTAGGACTCAAAGGGATAGGAATGCAGCTAATTGCGCCTTGCCTTCCAGGCCTGAACTTAAGCAATTCATTCACTGGCTGAGTCTCAGTGGACTCATCTGCAAAAGGCACACAAAAATTCTGGGGTGAAGACCAAAGTGGGGATGCAAAGCGAAGAGACAGCTGCTACAGAGGCATTCTCTCCAATTCTGCTGGTAGTAGGGGAAAAAAAGCTGTGACATCATGGGAGGCCTTTCAAGAAGTGAGACGGGGCTGTGAGACCACCGCGGTAGGTCAGACTACTCTGGGTGGCAGGAATTGTGTACGGGTGCTATGGAAGAGGGAGAAATTCTGTATAAAAGCCACTCACCACTCAGCTGCCTCAAGTAATCAAGGCCATGCCTAAAGCATGCCCAGTGGACAGCTATGTGGGGCCCTCCAGCAAGATCTAAAAGCAGCCCCTCTGCCCAGGTGAGAACTGGGGGGCTGGACTCTGTCAGTCAGTGTTAACAGACCCGATTCTGGAGAATGAAAGTGAAGTCTGTGGGCTCTGAGTCACTCCATCCCTCTGCCCAACCTCCACACACCTGCAGACCAAGGAGGCCTTTAGAGGGAGATGAGAGACAGATGTCAAAAGCCCATGGGAAGGAGATGGTGGTGCTGGGCCAGGGGTTGGATGACTTCCACCATTTCACATATTTCTAGCTGATTTGGGAATGTAGGGAGAGAAACAGGAAAAGGAAACTGGGGAGAGAAAAAGAGGGCATGCCACCACCTTAGAGTCAAAGAGGGTGACCCTGTGCCCCAGTAGGGCTCTGCGATGGACTAGGACCACCACCGTGGAACCTTGGACAAATCACTTACTCTGAACCTTACCGTCCCCCTTGGTGTATTTGGGAGAAAAACTGCCTACCTATACCTCCCAGTGTTGCCTGGAGGACACCTGAGAGGGCAGGTGTCCCTTTCCCCAGGTGCTGACGAGGCTGTGACTTGGCACTGTGGTGCTCAAGTGGGGAAGCAGCTTGATCTGGGGCAGGGTTTCCAGCCTTGTGCCATGGAGGTCAAGGCCATCGGGAGAGCTCTGAGGCCCTAGGGATGAAAGAAGGACTGGAAGGCCTTTCACATCACTCCTCCCCTGTACCAGCACAGCTTTTTTGTTAGGAATGGAGGTTCCATGCAGGACTTCAATTGCAAAAAAAAAAGAGTTCTGCTGCTAAACAAAGAAGTCTGAAAACAATGAGTTAGAGGGAGTGACATGGAACCACGTGTGATTTGGTAGTGAGAGAGCACAGAACACAGGCTTTCTGTTAATGTGCCACGAGCCTGATCCTTCCCACACGTTGTCTCTTTTAATCCTCACAATTGCCCTTGTTGCGCCATTATCCTCAATGTGCAGACGAGGACACCTGACTTTGGCACAAATAGGGAACTGGCCCAAAGTTACACGGCTAGAAAGTGGCAGAGTTGGGACAGCACACCCAGGTGTGATCTGCAGTTTCTAGGTCTTTCAGTCCTGTTCGACGATCACTTCCTGACCAGTGACTATAAGGCACTGGGCTAGGCTCTGGGGGATTCAGCTGTACATGAGAAGTCTGCTTGCGGACCTGGGTCTGCTGGGGGAGACGGACATGCAAACAGGCTGTTTAATTCTGAGTGACAGTGACAAGAACTACAGGGAAGAAAGCACAAGATGCTCTGGGAAGTCAGACTGGGCCATCAGAGGTGCTTCCCAGAGGCAGCGGTAGCTCACTGGGCACTGGAGGGTGACTGGGATCATCCTGGAGAGACTAGCACTTTATAGGCAGAAGGAAGAGCAAGTGACTGGGGAATGCGCACATATAATCTTTAGGGAATGCAAACATTCACAGGGAGAGCTGGGGCCCAGGTTTCTTTTAGGAGTGGTGGGGAGTGGTAGGCGGGAAGGCCAGGGAGGAGAGACGGAGAGATGAAGCTGGCAAGCTAAGCAGGGGCTAAAGAGCCCTGCAGGCCAGGTTCAAGTCTGGGCTTGACGCTGAGGGCAATGTTTGGCCATTGACGGCTTTTTCAGTAGCAGTAGTAGAGTGGAGAGAAGCGGATGGTTTGAGCTGTTTGGGAGGTCTCACGGCCAGGACTCGGGGACAGGTGGGGAGATGGGATGAGCCACAAGAACAATACTGACGACCCTGGCGTGGCTGCCGCTTCCCTGACCAAGTGCACTCTGTTGAGCCTTTCTGTGCATCACTTTGTTTCATTCCCGTAACCATCTGAGTTAGGTTCTACTGTTATTCTCATGTTGTGGATGAAGAAACTGAGGCTTAGAGCTGAAGTGATTTGCCCAAGGTCATCCAGCAAGTGTGGCAGAGCCAGGTTTCAAACTGAGGTCCGATTCCAAGGCTCGCTGCTCTCGATCACCACGACGCATTCCTCCCAGGATGGCACCCTGGGTTCTGGTTCAGGCAACGGGGTGGATGGTGGCGCCATTAACTAGACAGACAATGGAGAAGGAAGAGCAGGCCTCCTTGGAGAAAGAGAACAAGCTCAGTTTTGGATGTGCTCAGTGTGAGTACCAGTGGGGCATTTGTGAGGAGGTGCCCCATAGCAGCAGGAGTTGTCAATGTGAAGTGCAGGGAGGAAAGAGGTAGAACCTAGTGAACCAGGAACAACACTATCTAGATGGCTTCTCTATGTCAGGGAGGGGGCCTTGAGGTTCCGGGAGGGTCAGAGGAAAGGAAGAGGAGTCCACGAAGGAGACAGAAGTCAGAGAAGGTGAGAAATCTAGAGAACACGGCATTCCCATTGTTCTTCCCCTCGCCCACCTGGCCGAGGACAGGGGAGCCAAAGAGAACATGTTTGAAAAGGAAAACCAATACAAAATGTGAGATATTGCCTAGTGGACAGAGAAGATGGAACAGGAGGGTATGATTTAGCAACAAAGATGTCACTGGCGGTTCTGTGGAGGGGAGGGGGAGGAAAACAGTTTGCAATGAGCTAACAGGAAAGACAGTGAATGCAGAGAACAGTTTTCAAGAAATCTGGCTGTGATGGGAGGAGAGATGAGGTGAGGGAGAGAGGCTGTACACTCAAGGCAGTTTGCTTTCAAAAGATAGTATAGTGGGCACAGTGAAAGGCTGATGGGAGCCAGCCCAGGAGAGGCCAGAGCCAGAGCAGGAAGCCGAGCTTAAGACTGAGGCAGCAGGAAAGAACTGCACAGCCTTATGCAGAAGGGGTAACTCTTCCCTCATGACAAGAAGAAAGTCTGCAGGTGGAATGGTAAGATGTTTGAGGGAGTGCCTGTTCACTGGCTTTTTTTCCCTTGTTGATACAGGAAGTGAGCTCGTCTAACAAGAAAAGTGGGGTGGGGAGAGCGTGGGGATTTGAGAAGAATCTGGAGGTCTGACAAAGGGTCTGTGGTGAACAGAAGTGATGAAGAGCGAGTAGACTAGAGGCCTGCTAGGCCATATGAGGGCTCAGGCAAGAGGGAGATCACGCGGCCTGGGTGCCACAGATAGATGTGATCTAGCGCTTTCCTAGAGGTGTGGAAGGGGAGAGGCAGGGAGGGTTCAAACCCAGGGCTGCGATTTTTCTGAGTGGGTGTAAATGGAAGGGCAACAGGGCAAGGAATTGAGACTATTGGTAAGACAGTGAGTGAATGATCGTCAGGGGATCTCTCTGGCCGGGGAAGAGGAGAAAGGGGCAGGTGACAGCCTTCAGTGGGTGAAGAGGAGTGGCCAGGAGACTTCAGGTGACAGAGCCAGGGTCAGTTTCAAAGGAGTAGGGTTTAGTACATGAGGGACAGACAGTCACGGTCTGGAAATGGTGTAAGGGAGCAGAAAGATACTCAGCTTTATTGGTCTCCTGAGGTGGGAGAGAATGAGCAGTCTCCACTGGATGGCTCCCAGGGGAAGCTGTGTTTCTGGTGGACAGCCAGACTGTGGTTAAGTCTGAGAGGTAGAGGAAGGACACTGGAGAGGAGGCTGATGCATAAACAGATAATGACCATGACTGCCTATCACATGACCTTGCAACTGTCTGGTGCTGTGTTGTACTCTGGCCTCCAGACTGGACTGGGCAGACTGAAGCTGTGCGGCAAGTTTCTGAATGAGTGCATGGAGTGTGCGAAATGGCAGCTGAGAGAGATGTACGAGGTACAGTGGCAGTACCGTGGAAGGAGTTACCTGAGGAAGTCTGAAGGAAGTTGCCAGGAGGAAAAGGAGGGGAGAGAAGAGTTGTTACTGGCATTACCAGCAAAGGGGTAGGGATGTGTGGGCACAGATTTATGGAAAGCACACCAGGCCTGGGAACTTCAAAGTGCGCCTGCTCGCTGGGAACCACTGCCTTAAGAAGCCAGGGAAGGCTAAAGAGACCGCTGTTGCCCACTGTACACTTCTGGTCAGGCAACACTGGATGGGAGAAAGAAAGTGCTGAGCACTTTCTGAAGGCAGCAATGGGACCCCTTGGCTCACTACTTCAGGCTTCAGGGAAAGGGTCCTGGTTTGTCCTTTGGGCTGGAAAAAGATGTAGAATTGCTGCTGCTTTCCAGAGCACCAGGGCTGTTTGACCACCCAGGACCTGGAGCTAGCTGGTTGTCAAACCCAACTCTTCTGCTGCTGGGCTCCCGAGTGTAGCGCTGTGCAGACGCAGCTGGGGGCAGGCAGGTGAAGAGGTAATGAGGTGGCCGGGGATGAGCCGCCAAGCCCTGGGGCTTGCCTGGGAGCAGGGCTGCCCAGGAATAGCTCACTGGGTTCTCTCCTCAGCCCTCTGAGGAGCTCACTCAGCTCATGGGCTGGGTCATTCCCATGGCTTCAATTACATCTCCAAGCTGGCAACTCCCAGCCCCACACCTCCATCTCCACTTGGAGGTCTCCTGAGAATCTCTGAGTCAATGCTCCCCAACTGAATTCTGTTGTCTTCTGCCAATCCCATCCTTGCTCGGTGAAGGGCACACCATCCTGCCAGTCACCCAAGCAAACACCTGGAAGATATCCCTGACTTCTTCATCTCTGTTCCACAATCAGGTCACCAAAGCCAGTCATGTCTGCTTCCCTTGCTCCAGACCCACTATCAATCAGCTTTCCCTGGGCCTCAGTATCCCCTCCGGGAGTTTCACCCCTCCAGGCCACCTTCTATATTGCCACAGTCATGGTGGCATGCAGATTTGATAAAAGCCCTGCAGTGACTCCCCCTCAGCTATAGGATCAAGTCAAGTCTTCAGCGGGACCTCTACTAGCTGTCCTGCCTCTCCTCTATTTGAGCTTCGGCTACCCCAAACCGCTGTGAATGTGCTATGCCTGCTGCCAGAACGACTCTCCTGATGAAACTGAACTCACTCCCTGCAACTCAGCTCTCAAGTCAGCCTCTTGGTGAGCCATTTCCAGCGTGCCCAGGCAGGATGGGGGCTTTCCTCATCCCAGGGCTTGTCACATGCTAATGAGCTCGTCCGGTTTTGTGTCAGTCTCTCCACCGGACTGAACTTCTCCAGGGTAAGAACTTAACTGCATCATGCTTTGGCTCTCAGTATTTGCAGAAGTGTTTGCTGAATGAATAAATGACTGACTGACTGAAGCAAGTCCTGTGCTTTGAGGAATCCAGCAAGCAGCTTCTGAGGCCAGGACTCGTCTTTCCTCCAATCACTGGCCCCAGGCTCCCTGACCCTGATGCCTCCCAAACGCATTCAGACCTTCCCATAGCAGTGAGCTGTGCCAAGGCTTCTGGCAGCCAGCACTGTTCATGCCCCACAAGTCTTGGGGGGTTGGGGCGAGAGATTCCTCAGGGAGGAGAGGCGGTAGAGCTAGGCTCCCCCCCCACACCCACCTTCTTTTTCAGCTTGTGCCGGGCCCGCTTGGCGGCCCTGGCGCTGTTGGGGACTTTGGGCTCCGTGCTGTTGATGAATTCCAGCAGCTCATCCACATCCCGGTGGTCCACGGCGGGCTCCCCAGGGATCCCGCCCAGGGCGCCCCCCTTCATGGGCAGCTCCTCTTTCCGCCTGGTCAGCCTCGAGCGGAGCTTCTCGCGGATCTCTGTGTAATTCCGACTCGTCGGGGCAGCGGGTGGCTGGGGGAGGGGAGGTGCTGACGTTACACCCTGGGCCTGGGAAGCCCGGAGCACTCCCACCCGCTGGCACCGAACGTGTGGTGAGAAGCCAGACAACCGTTCTTCCTACCATAGCCACAAAGGCCGAGTGGCTTCAGCCTCGGCCAGGCCCAGAGCTGAGGCAGCTGTGGGCGGAGGGAGTGGGAGATACGTAACAGCATTGTGAGCACACTGACTCGGGAGCCAGGAAAGCAGGTTTGAGCCCGGGCTTTGTCACTTGTAAGCTGTATGACCTTGGGCAGGTCACTGAGTCTCTGTGTGCCTCGATTTTGTCATCTCTAAAATGAGAATAATAACCCTTAGCTTAAAGGTGACTAACAATGTAATTACGTTCATTTCTTCTGTCCTCAACTGCTCTACCCTAGCCGGCGGCCCTTTCCTCTTCACTTTATGAGACTTCTGAGCTGCTTTCGCCTTCTGTCCAGAGACAGCATGTACTCTGCCCTGAGCCTCCTGCCTGGTGCCGTCTGTGCTCACGGCCCGTCCCTCGCTGGCTCACACTTGGGGGACCGAGAGCCTCTGCTTCCACTGTGCCCTTCATCACGCACAAGTGTTCGCTTCTCTGTGATTACACACGTATGCATGCTCATCAGAATCATAGCTTTCTCTCTGCCATTTCCTTTCCTTTTGCCTAAGAAAAAAAAGTCAATCTTAAGGAAAAACCATGAAAAGAGCAAAGGTAGCAAGGTGTTTAAAAATCCCTACCTCACAAGCGTGCTGTAAGGATCAAGCGAGTGGACACAGGCTGTGAGGACTCAGAGGGTCCCGGTGTGGTTACTATACCCATGGGGGGTGGGGTCTCTGGGGAGAGCAGGTGCTCCTTTGGCTCACCTTCACTGGCCCCCAGCCCTCTCTGGCCTGGGCAGGCTCACTCACCGCATTGTGGCCGAAGAACTCACAGTAGCAGCAGTCACAGAACTTCCCATCTCTCTGGTGAGCGGAGGAGGAGGTGCAGGAGCTGCGCTCTGAGCTGCTGTCCTCTTCCTCACCCAGGCCCTCATCGGCCTCGCAGGGCTGGGGGAGCTGGCAGGCCAGGCCGCTGTGCGTAAACCTGTGCCCCTTGCACCCAGGGTCCCTGCTGATGTGGGAGAGAGAGAAGCCCACAGGTGAGGGAGGACAGGAGCAGGCTGCAGCAGGAGCCTGGGGACGCACCACTTCTGATGGCCACTGCTGCGCGGACTACCCTTCATCTGCCTCACCCCATAAAGGCCAAGGCAGTCACACCATATCGGTGCCTCTCACAAGAGCAGGGCCAACATGGTCACTGTCCCTCAGGGCCCAGCTCAATGGCATTATTCTGGAAAGGTAGGAACCTCATGTCTCCCATGCCCGCACCCACTGTGTGACCCTCCTGGACTCGGAAGGAGGGTCACAGAGCGGGTGTGTATACCTCCCTATCCTACTGTAGATCACACTTTACTTTGACGGTCTGTTTGCCCACCTGTTTCTGGGACCAGACTGTGCATTCTCTAAGGGCAGGGGCTGTGAATTCTATTTTTGGGTCCCAGTGGGCAGCATAACAACAGTGTATACAGCAGGTGCTCAATAAGCAGGTATCCGAACAGATTAGTGGGCTGATGGCTCTCCTGGAGCATCCGAAATAGGCTGATGAGGTCAATTTCATCCTCTAAGGCTCTTAGACTGAGTCTGCTCCCATGTGTTGAGCTGCCTTAGTGTGGGGCCTTAAAGTTAGAAAAGTAAATATGCTTTGTGGGCCAGACTCTAAGAACTACTTAACTGTTTGAGTCTGGTACTCTATTTAGCATATCATTTCTAAGCGTCTCCAAGTCCTGCAAAACAGATGTTGCTATCCCCATCCTGCAATGGAAGTAACTTAAGGGTCAGAGTGCTTAACTGCTTTGCCAAGGAGTATCTAGGACTCAGCCTGTGCCTGTGTGCAAAGCTCATGCTCTCCCATTGTACTGCTTTGCCTCTGGACTTTAGGAAGCACTGGGGGCATCACATAATATAGCTTATTTTCCCAAGTAAGAAAAGACTTGGGCCCACAAAGTCCCATAACTGGAGCCAGAAGAGCAAGAGCACTGGGTTGGCCAGAAGCTGGAGTGCCCTGGGACTGGGGACATGGGGTGGGAGCTGGGAGAAAGGGGAGGATGAGGGGCAGTGAAGAGGCTTGGCTGTTGAGCAAGGAGTAGAAAAGGAGGGGCAGGAACCATTACCAGTGGTACTCAGAGAAGCTTAATCCAAATTGACCATTCTTCACCCACATTAGCAAAATTAAAATACCCACTGCTCCTGAGAATATGAAGAAACTAGCATCCTAATATTGGTGGTTACATCAATTTGGAGAGCTCTTTGAAAAGCAATTTTTCATGTGTATTAAGAATCCTTCTCAAAAAGACATCCTGACATCCTTTAAACTTTTTTCATTCTGAGGGATCTATTCCAAGGAGTAAAAACCCAAAAGAGGGAAAAAGCTTAGGCAAAGACATCTTTAGAGAGATTATTTACAGTGTTAAAATACTGGAATGACTTAAATCATCAGCAACTGGAAAACAGTGAAGTACACTATGGAGAATATTCTTCAGCCTTCAGCTGAGGCCCAGAAGACCACATAGGAACCAATGAATGCTGAGTGAAATAGGACAACGAAAAACTGTAAACTTTATAGACACCACCACCACTGGGTGGGAAAGACCTGCAGGGAAAACTGCCAACAGTGGTGGTATTAGGGTGGTGGGATTTTAGAATAAGAAAATACAAATGCATACTAAACACAGATCTGATTTATAATACAAAAATGCACATTTATCTTCTCCAAAGAATTTTATCTTCCACATCTACATTAATGTAAACTTCCTCAGTTTATATTAGAGCTACTTCAGGGAATCCTTAAACCCATAATTCCGGACTGAAATACAGATTTGGGTGCAAGGATGTTTATTACAGCCTTGTTTTTAGTGGCTAAAAACTAGAAATGCCCGGGGGCTCCTGGGTGGCTCAGTCGGTTAAGCGTCTGCCTTCAGCTCAGGTCATGATCTCAGGGTCCTGGGATCAAGCTCCACATCAGGGCTCCCTGCTCAGCAGGGAGCCTGCTTCTCCCTCTGCCTGCCACTCTGCCTACTTGTGCTCACGCGCTGTCAAATAAATAAAATCTTAAAAACAAAAACTAGAAATGCCCCAATGTCCAGGAATACGGGAATGATAAAATAAATTTATGCTAGAGGTATACAATAAGACATTTTGCAGTCACAAGTTTTTTGAAGAATTTTAACTGGGGAAATGATATATAATGTTAAAAAATAACTACCACAAGAATGTATAAACGTGGACCTAATTTATATACAGAAACATCAGAAACAAAATATACTGCAGTGTTAGAAGTTTATCGTTAGGGGCACCTGCGTGGCTCAGTCAGTTAAGCAACGAACTGATTTTGGCTCAGGTCGTGATCTCAGGGTTGTGAAACTGAGCCCTGTATTGGGCTCCGCTCTCAGCGGGGAGTTTGCCTAGGGATTTTCTCTCTCTCCCTCTGCCCCTCACCTTGCTCGCGCACATGTGCTCTCTCGCTCTCAAAATAAATAAATAAATCTTAAAAAAAAAAGTTTATTGGGGTGCCTGGGTGGCTCAGTTGGTTAAGCGACTGCCTTTGGCTCAGGTCATGATCCTGGAGTCCCGGGATCGAGTCCCGCATCGGGCTCCCTGCTCGGCGGGGAGTCTGCTTCTCCCTCTGACCCTCCCCCCCCCATGTGCTCTCTCTCTCTCTCTCATTCTCTCTCTCAAATAAATAAATAAAATCTTTAAAAAAAAAAAGTTTATCTTTAGGTCATGAAATTTTTTCATTAGACATCTCTGAATTTTTCCAAGTTTTTTAAAAAACAATAAACACTTCTTTTATGATCGTAAAAACGATACAAAATATCGAGTCTACCCTTTTTTTATTTTCTAAGATTTACTTACCTATCCTACAGAGGAGAGAGAGCGTGAGTGGGGGGAGAGGCAGAGGGAGAGAGAGACTCTTAAGCAGACTCTGTGCTGAACACAGAGCCTGATGTGGGGCTCCATCCCGGGACCCCAAGATCATGACCCGAGCAGAAACCAAGAGTTGGACGCACAAAACTGACTGAGCCCCAGAGTCTTCCCTTTAATTTCCACCCCAGAGATATTGGTTTGTCAAGTTTCTCCGAACTCAAGGTTGAAGTTAGCAGGGAGTATGCCCCTCATGCCACTTACTTACCTGTGAGTGCTAGGGAGTTGCTGAGAGCTGGGAGGTGGGAGGAGAGGCCCGCTGCAGTGCCCGCTGCAGTGCCCGCTACAGGGGTGGTTGCACCCCGAGAATGGTGGAGGCATCTTCAGGAGCGGCATGCTGGTGGAGGGCAGGTGGGGGGTCTGACATGCCCCTGGGGTGTGGGGGGCGGCAGCAGGGGCAACAGGGCATTCTGAAGCCTGGGCAGGGAAAGGCGCTGCCGGGGTAGCAGGCAGCAGGTGCGGGTGGGGTGGTGAGCCGAAGGATCCGGGCTGAGATGGGCTCAGCGATGCTGGCTGGGGGTGGTGGCCGGTGGGGCTGTTGGGTGGAGCAGTGAGGTCTGAGTGCCGGTGGTGCTCCGAGAGAGAGAAAACCTCACCTGTGGATGGTGAAGAAGGGGGTCAGAGTGAGAGCCAAGACCCTAGGAAGCCCAGGCTCACTGTCACAACATCCTGCTTACTGTGATCAGAGGGAAACTCAGCACTGTGGACCAAGTCTAGCAGTGCCTCGGGCTGGAGAGTTTTCCCTGCAGGGAGCAACTTGGCTGGACAGACTTGAGGAGCCCAGATCTGAGAGAAGGACCCAGGAATGCCCGTCCCATGGAAGGCCACAACACCTCTGCTGTGGCACAAACAGGGGATATGTGCTCTGTGTCTTGGGGTCTCTCTAGGACTTGCGTGCTTGTAGGCATTCCTCAGGCCCAGGAAAGGGTCTATAGAAGCCAGTGGAGCAGCAGGCCAAAGCTCTGCCTCTGGGCCATGAGGACTGAGGCAGCCAGGGTATGCCAGACTCCCAGGTGGCCCCAGATATCAGAGAAGTGGGAAAAGGCTCTGATGAGTCTTCTTTGGCTTATGCATCAAAATAAATGGAATTCTACTCAACTCTCACAACTCTCACAAAGGGGAGCAGCACCCCTTTGGAGAACTCAGGCCCTCAATTTTTTATTCTTATGTATTTTAATTCCAGTATAGTTAACATAAGAGTGTTATACTAATCTCAAGCCCTCAATTTAGAAATAGACAGTAATGAATATTTACATAGTACCTCAATAACTTAAGACTTTTTCTTTGGGTATCTAAGGGTTAACTCAGGGTATAAAGGCGGCTTATATAGCTGTGAACTTCGCTAATAATCCTAGCAGTTTGTGCCACCAACTTCTTGTGCTTTTTATACGTGCCCTTAGGTGAAGAAAAGGCGGCCTAGGAAGACAAAGCACCCAGGTCCTCTGTGCTGCTGCAGGGGTCAGGTGTTAGGTGGCTGATGTCCAAAGGAGAACTCAGGTGGCTGAGTGTCCTAAGGACACTCCCAGACTCCACTTTCTGTTCGGCCGGTGTTTACCACATCCCCTCCTGAATCTGAAGGGAAAGCTATCAGAGCCAATGACAATATTTTTCAACTTCAGAGCTCTGGGGAAAGGAGCGCCATGGAGACAGCCAAGGGCTAGGTACCCCCTGCTTCCACCAGAACAGTTCCTCTTGTACTTATTTTAATAACTGACCTGATTTGTCTATCAAAGTGGTTAGAAAAACATAGCTCTCTACATTTACGTGGCCTGGCTCTCTCCCGAGCTCAGAGACTCACCAGGGATGGTAGGAGGACTCCCGAGTGAGCTACCCGGCACGGCCCCACTGGAGTGCGGAGAGTTCCAGAGGCCCGAAAGCTTATGTGCTGACAGGAAGGAGCTGGGATCCCAGTCCCCTGAGTTCCCATGGCAGGAGGAGGAGGACGAGGACGATGAAGAGGAGGACGAAGAGGAATGAGAGTCACCCCCACAAGACTGTGATTTGCAGGATGTGTGTGACAAGGAGATCTGGAGAAGGGGGAAGAAAAAGGCTCATGGTAAAACAGCAAACATGAGAGCCAACCCGCTGCTGCCGTAGCTTACTCAGGAGCACCTCCTCCTCCAGGCCCTGTGCCATGGCCAAAGGACAATTTTCACAACTCCAGGTGCACGGGCAGACATGGGTCAGGCCTTTGCCGGGAGGAACAGTGTTGCTCCCAGTAAAGTGAGGTGTGTGGACACTGGTGAGAGAGACTCTGGTAGAGATACAGACTGCCTGTCAGCTGTGGGCCTCTGGGGAGTCCTGAGAGCTGCCAAGGAAAGGAAGGGTCTTTAAGTCAAAAGTCCTGAAGCTGACATGAACCTGGGGTAAAAGAGGGGCTGGAGGGGAATGAGAACGAAGGAAAGTCTGACTGCTGTGATTCAGGAGATGCCACTTTGATGGCTCCTTCTAACTGAGGCACATGGTCGACCCTCAAACCAACCTTTGCCATCCGTCACATACTGGTTGGCTTTTAAGCTGTCACAGGGCTGAAGGCAGCACAGTGACACAGAAGGGGCAGAATCTCCATCGACAACACCTACAAGCAGGCACTCACACTGCAGAGGCTCTCCTCAGGGGCAAGGGGGCTGCCTGCAGCCTCTCCGTTCTTGCCCCGAGTGTGAACCCAAGCCACTACTGCTGTGTGGATACAGCCCAGCAGCCACTCAGTGCCTGGGTGCAGGGGCTGCCGGAGGAGCGCCACCTGAGAGGGCAGGGAAGGAACAGCTCAAAAGCCTGATCTCTCTGGGCAGGCAGCCCACCTGCATTCAGGGACCCCCTTCTCAGCCGTTACCTACCGCCACTGCATGCTCTCGACCTGTCTGCCTTTCATCTTCCTCCATGCTCTTTCGGCAACTCTGGCAGACCCATAGAGGCATCTCGCCTAGGAGATTCTTGACAAGCTTTGGCATGAAGTCAGGGGGCAGCTTCTCACCCTGCAACACCAGTCCGTTTTGGGAAGGGCCTTCTTCCCAGCCTTTGCGTTCCCGATGACATAGCAGGCAGCAAGTCTGCACAGACTGGGTGGAGGTGGGGGGAACCTGTCCAACAGACAGAAACAGGGTTTCCCAGGAGGGGAAAGGCTCTGCTTAGAAATAATATTAACCATACTAATAACTTCACTTATTATATGCCAGGCACTGGGTTAGGCACTTTCTATACATAATTTTAGTCCTTGTAATAGCTCTGCAAACTAGGTGTTATTTTGTTTTATTTTTTAAGACGAAGGAACAGATTTTGAGAAGTTAAGTAACTTGCCCAAGGTTATAGAGCTAGTGAGTGGCTGAATTAGGAGTTGAACTCTGGTTGACTTCAAAGCTCATGCTCAAATGCCCTACAAAGGTTAAAGGAAGGTCCCCTTCTCTGATATGTCTGGGAGAGGCCACAATTCTTGAGCTGTCTGTGCAGTCCACAGACCAATCCCCACCTGGGGGTTGGGGAGATCCTTCCAGTTAATGTTGAGTTTGGGAGAACGCGTGGCTTTCCTGAAAGCCGCATAATTCCATTAGGATCACAGCAGCATTTTGGTGGAGGGGTTTGCATAATTCATCAGAAAGCATTAATTCAATAGAAAACTGAGTTGGAGAAAGGGTAAAACAGAACCCGGTGCTTCTGAGAGGCAGTGAGGTATGGTGAAAAGACCTGGGCTTTGGGGGTCAGATTGACCCACATTCTAATGCCAGCCTGAGCACACATTAGCTGGGTGACCTTGAGCAAGTTATTTGACTTCCTGAGCTCTGATTTCCTACCTACCTTGCAGAGTTGATACAAGACTCAGTGCATAAACAGGGAAAGTGCCTAGCCCCGTGCATGCTCAAAGCATAGGCCCAATACCCAGTAATTATTACTTGGACTTTTTTTTCCTTCTAGGACAAATGACAAAGAAATATAAGACTACAGGTTTTTATGTCATATTGAGGGGTACTGATTGGGAGACTGATTACATTTAATGACCCCAATTCGTGGCTTTCCTATATTCTGCAGCTTTGGAAGGCAGCTACGCTCACCACTATACCACGAATGCCACTGCTTCCAGGGCTATTCTGTAACTTCGTAGAACCCTCTCTGACACTGGGGTTGGTCATGTCACTTTCTTTGGCCAATGGGATGTTAGCAAATTTGATGCCAGCATAAGCTTGAAAAGTTATGTATGCATTTCTACTTGCTTCTTTGCATGGCTGGGCTTGCTCGCTCTTGCACCTCTGCCTGCCATGAGAGCATGACCAGGCTAGCTGCTGGAGGGATGTGAGAGACGTGTGGAGAAATCTGAGTCTTCCTCGCTGATGGGCCAGTGGATCACATACATGAGTGAGCCCAGCTAAGATCAGCCAAGCCGGCCCCGATCGACAGAAACACCCAGTCAACCCAGAGACTCATGAGAAATAATAAATAGTGTTGTTTTAGCCACTAAGTTTTGGGGTGGTTTGTTACATGCAATAGTTGTATTAACTGATATACCTTCCAAACTTACCCACCACTAGGTAACAGGTGTTTGCAGAGGCCTAAGCAAAGGAATAAGGGTACCATCCTCATCCTACCATGAAAATAAATGCCATCATCTTTCTCGAATAAAATCACCTTCTCACAATAAATAGGCATCAGGGTATCCTTAAATCTGTAATGTTACAATTACACTGACCTGGGTCTCTGGTTTCTAGAAAAAGAAAGGAACCAAATAGTACCAGAAGCATAATGAAACATCTGGGGAAGAACAAGAACATTGGAAAAGAAAAAACCAGAGAGAGAGAAATCCTATACGTGGAACCTATGTGAGATACTGCCTTGACAGAAAAGGTTTCTGTCAAGGGAACGTTTCAGTGGACAAGGCAGCTGCTTAACTGCAACTGTAAAAGGATAGAGCTTCTAACCCACTGGTGGTATCTCATGGAAAGGGTGGGAGATTGATGGAGAAGGATGGTATTCAGAGAAGTCAAGGAGGCCTTTTTGAGAAGTGTACCCAGGAAACTTTTCATAGCTATAAGGTGCCATAGTAACTCCAGAGGGAGGAGATGAGGCCAACATCCAAGTCCCCTTCCCTGTGCTGATGGTGACCATATTCTTAAGGAAAACACCAGGACGTGTAGTTTTGCTACAACAGAGTTTCATTTCATTAGGGTATTAGGTTCTAAAGTTACTACATAAGAGGAAAATCTTGTCTGAGTAAAATTATTCTGAAATTCTTTGTATGGCCTGTGATGTACAGTATATATAGTTTTGGCACAACCAAGATATCAAATGTATAACATATATGGCAATGTTCAATAAGTGTTTTTTTTTTTCTTTTAAAAGCATATACAGAATTCTTTATAAGTTGAACATGTGATCAGTGTGATTGTACCTAGTGCTAAAGTACTTGTGGGAGGCACCAGGTACAGTGGAAATGACATTGGCTTTGGCACTCATCTTGGGCCTCCACCACTTACCAGCTATAGGATGCTGGGCAAGTTCTAGTCTCTGTCTCTTCATCTGTAAAATGGGATTATGTCCTACCTTGTAGGGTTGGCTGTGAACATGGAATGGACAAACCACCTAGTCCAGTGCCAGGCCCATAATACGTTGCCTCAACATATGATACTAATTATGAATATGATGGGAGTGATGGAAAACATTTAAAATCAGGACTAGGCTTGAAAAATATAGAAAATACGGTCACTATATTTTGTAAGAATGCAACCATCTTTCATGTGGAATGAATTTAAGGTGACTTTTAGACATCTTAATCTCCGCCCTCTACCCCATAAAGTCATTCTTTAAGTTCCCCAAATATTCTCTGTACTCTCCTATCCCTACCTCATGCCTTTGCTAACGGGGATCCTCTGCTTCAAACCCCCTTCCTTCCCAAGTTTACCAATAAGTAGCTGGGCAGGGCTTAAACCCAACCTCATCTAAGCTTTCCCAGGGATTCCCTCTTGTAATTCCTCTCCCCTCCCCATATCTCCACAGCACATTATGCCTTGCTTACAGCATCTGTGCCTTCCACTTTATTTATTTACCTGCATTTCCTGTCCCTTCTATTACGTTGCACTCCTAGAGGGCAAGCATCAGGTCTGATTCTTGTCTGGATCTCTCACAGTGTAGCACAGGGCATGGGATCAGCTGGGCACATAGTGGCTAAATCAGATTTGTTAAGTATCACTATGGCAGTACAGCTTAGCAAGACTGCTTGAAATTTTGAAATTTTTGCTTCTCACAGAGAAAGGCTATCTCCCTACCCTGGACCTTCACCCTGATGGTTCCAATCTTAAGTGTGGAAGAGTGGAAGAGTGGAAGATCATGTTCCTTGGGGATTACAATGAGATGGCCTCATTCATGGAAATAATGTGGCTCTTCCTAGAGCCAAACTGGTCCACATAATAAATGAGATTAGCCATCAATGGAAGCAAATTTACAGGACAGGCTGTCTTTCCAGTTAAAGGGAGAAAAAACAGGGCCTGGCAAGCTAATTAGGTCCTAACTGAAGCAGGGATGATACTACCTACACTGCATAAGGTTGCTCAAAGAATTAAGTGACATTAGAGATGCAAAACTTAGCCCAAGGGTTCCATGCAGTAGACAATCTATTACCTACGCCCTTTGGCCATTCTGTTCTTAATAAAAAAGCTACATTGGAATCTAGTTATTCACTGTCCTGAGTTTGGTATACCTGAGCTCTTTCTGGGCCACAATTCTTGGGGCTACTCCCAAAGCTGTTTTAATCCTAAACCTTGGTGTCTGCCCTTGAATACAATGCCTGGTGGGGCCCGGGGACTTTTTTCTCTGACATTTTCATTTTTACTGACAGAGGGTGGTGAGAATCCCGAGACCTGGAGATGTTATATTCAGTCAGTACTACCACTATTTCTGCAAATTTTTGCTTTGGCAGAGAAAAGCTCTTGGTTCAGAATCCCTTTGACTGCAATCTCCTGCCATTTTTCAAATTCCTGGCAATCATGATCCCTTATGCCCTGAAGTCAACTCAGGCTTTCAACTAGCTATTCTCAAGTGGCATTTTTAACATCAGGCACGGTATTCCCACACAAGAACATGAACAATAAATGTTTATCGAATGAACGAAACACCCAACCATTTTTCTTCATCACAAAGCCTAGGGAACTGATCCTTAAACCCAGCAGCCCTGGGCAACAATTACTCCTTCTCACTTCAATTTAAATTTCAGAGCCTCTCCAGATAAAGGTCTAGTCCTAAGTATAAGATGGGGGAAAGAGCAAGGAAAGATTCTAGGGTTTTCTAGATTTGGGATCTGCTCAAAAAAGCTCCAAGATTAAATTCTGCTTCACTCTAGGCAAAACCAGCCTCTCTGAGAGTGTGGGGTTACTCACACAGGGGATCCATGTTTTAGCATGCACATCCCCAGCGCAGTCAAGGAGCCAGGTGAACCCAGACTGTGGCCACTCCCAGCCCAGGGGGCTGGCATGTGCAGTCATTAAAATCATTATCTCTGCTCCCTCACCTGACCAGGCCCAAGACTTTTCTGTCTTGGCCTGAGAAACATGATACAGTATTCTAGATTTTCCTGGATAAGAGTAGTTAAAATCAAAGGAAAAGGAAGCCAGTTTTTCTCATGGAACATCATTTTTACTCAAAAGAATGACTGACAAACTGGTTATTCAGACTTGGAAACTGCCAGACATTTTCTCAAAAAATGAACAAAATGAGCCCGTCACTTCAAGGAAAACAACTTTTTATTTGTGGCCAATGACAAAATTCAAGCTTTCAGGCAAAAATCAGAATTTTGGAAATTTGAAAATTAGAATTTTGTATCCATCATCATGAACTTAACAGCTTCCCAATACTTAAAGACTTTTCTGGTGAAAATGGTGGTGATATTAACAAATGTAGTTTTTTAATATTGTAAAATGAAATGGAAAAACATTTGGAAGAGCTGCATAACTCAGTGAACCTATTTTCCAAACAAGCAAAGCATGATGTTTTAGAATCATGCATTGGAAAAAAAAAAAAAATCCAAAGTGCTAGATAAACCAACAGATTTTTACTGTAAATGAGTACAAAGACTTCACTGATATAGTCTCAGATTCCATAT